TGACTAGATATGGACTCCATGCTGGAGCTGCATAATCCAGGATTGGTCTGACATATGTGGTATACAAAGTTTTGAATGATTCCTTGCACAGGTTTCTAAATGCCGTTCTTATGTTAGCCAACCTGGCGTTTGCCGCTGATGTTATCCTCTCGATATGGGCTTCAGGGACAGGTCTGGCGTGATATCAATGCCAGATGATATCAACGATATGATGGTGTGTGTGTGTGTGTGTGTGTGAGTGTGTGTGTGTGTGTTTTCCATGAAAACGCATAAAAACTGGTGGGAATATATTTTTTGTATATTTCAAAGTGCTTATTAGAGTATAGTTACATGTTGTCATTTTATATATCCCTCAATATATACAATAGTCATCTGTGCCTTGTTTAGAATTACATGAAATTTGATATGGTGCATAGGTATTCCAATAAATATATACATCTTAGGTTAATAGGCATAAAGGTTAAAACACCGAGTAAATAACATTTCTACCAAGAACGCTGCAGAAGCCAACACTAGTCCAGCAGACAGCACGAAGAATGAGCCTTGAACCTGCAAAAGAAAAAAAATTATATACGAGAGCAAATCTTCAATTTTGTACTTGATTTAAATTAAAATTTAAGATTAGCTATGTATATAAATAAATAAATAAATAAATATATATATATATATATATATATATATATATATATATATATATATATATATATATATATATATATATATATATATATATATATATATTTATATACATAAGAAGGAAGGTGAAACGCCATGCTACCTCTGAAGAGACAACTAACAAAAACACCTGTACCCCCTATTAGACTATTTTACAGGAACTTCTTTTCCACAGCTCATAAAACGGAGGAAAGGGTCCTGAAAGATATTGTTAATAGAAACGTTATCCCTACAGACAAAAATCAGAAGATACAATTGACGATTTACAATAAAACCAAGAAAACTGCAAACCAACTCATGAGAAACTCTCCAGACACAAAGCAGAACGCTTTGAAAGAGACCAATGTCGTCTATGCCTTCAAATGCCCACTTGGGGACTGTAAGCCTCAAAGAACTCAGTATATAGGCAAGACAAAAACATCTCTTTCCAGGCGATTAACGATGCATAAGCAACAGGGCTCCATTAAGGAACATATAACCTCTTCCCACAACCAGACCATCACCAGAGAAGTCTTAACAAAAAACACGGTAATCATCGATAGATACAGCGATAGTAGGTGGCTAGATATCTGCGAGGCACTACACATTAAGAAGTCAACACCAGCAATCAACAGCCAATTAATGCACAACTATATTCTACCCACTTCAAGACTCCGCACCAATATAGAAGCATAAAAAAATATGGGCTAATATTCCCTTTGCATTTACTTCCATTCTTCCCCTCTATCTTTACCCAATATTACCCAATTTTTCGTGTTCCATCTTGTGTTGAAAGTTTGTTTTCACCTCATCCAAAACTATTGTAACATATCACCTCACCCAAATGCAGGTATATAAAATGAAAAGCCGTTTGAAGTATAGCATAGTAAGAAATCTGTTTTAGTGTTTGCAGGTTATATTTGTGTGTGTGTAAACTAAAGTCTTTGAAAATGTAATAAGTTATTACGAAACGCGTTCAAGTGTTGCGTCAGACTAGAAATAAAAATGAATTTTGGAGACTGATTTTTCAATTACCATCGACAGTGAAAAGAACCATAAGAAATATTGAGAAAATTTGTGTTAGAATTAGTAATCTTACTTTTTCGGTTATATTTAATAATATATGTCTACAGGAAAGACTGCTACCAAAATATACTAATATATATATATATATATATATATATATATATATATATATATATATATATATATATATATATATATTATATATATATATATATATATATTTATATATGTCGTACCTAGTAGCCAGAACGCACTTCTCTGCCTACTATGCAAGGCCCGATTTGCCTAATAAGCCAAGTTTTACTGAATTAATGTTTTTTTCGACTACCTAACCTACCTAACCTAACTTTTTTGGCTACCTAACCTAACCTAACCTATAAAGATAGGTTAGGTTAGGTTAGGTAGGGTTGGTTAGGTTCGGTCATATATCTACGTTAATTTTAACTCCAATAACAAAAAATTGACCTCATACATAATGAAATGGTTAGCTTTATCATTTCATAAGAAAAAAATTAGAGAAAATATTTTACTTCAGTAAAACTTGGTTTATTAGGCAAATCGGGCCTTGCATAGTAGGCCGAGAAGTGCATTCTGGCTACTAGGTACGACATATATATATATATGTCGTACCTAGTAGCCAGAACGCACTTCTCAGCCTACTATGCAAGGCCCGATTTGCCTAATAAGCCAAGTTTTCATGAATTAATGTTTTTTCGACTACCTAACCAACCTAACCTAACCTAACCTAACTTTTTCGGCTACCTACCCTAACCTAACCTATAAAGATAGGTTAGGTTAGGTTCGGTCATATATCTACGTTAATTTTACCTCTAATAAAATAAAATTGACCTCATACATAATGAAATGGGTAGCTTTATCATTTCATAAGAAAAAAATTAGAGAAAATATATTAATTCAGGAAAACTTGGCTTATTAGGAAAATCGGGCCTTGCATAGTAGGCTGAGAAGTGCGTTCTGGCTACTAGGTACGACATATATATATATATATATATATATATATATATATATATATATATATATATATATATATATATATATATATATATATATTTGCAGGTTATAGTTGTGTGTGTGTAAACTAAAGTCTTTGAAAATGTAATAAGTTATTACGAAACGCGTTCAAGTGTTGCGTCAGACTAGAAATAAAAATGAATTTTGGAGACTGATTTTTCAATTACCATCGACAGTGAAAAGAACCATAAGAAAAAAATTAGAGAAAATGTATTAATTCAGGAAACTTGGCTTATTAGGCAAATCGGGCCTTGCATAGTAGGCTGAGAAGTGAGTTCTGGCTACTAGGTACGACATATATATATATATCTATATATATATATATATATATATATATATATATATCGTACCTAGTAGCCAGAACGCACTTCTCAGCCTACTATGCAAGGCCCGATTTGCCTAATAAGCCAAGTTTTCCTGAATTATATATTTTCTCAAATATTTTTCTTATGAAATGATAAAGCTACCCTTTCATTATGTTTGAAGTCAATTTTTTTTAATTGGAGTTAAAATTAACGTAGATATATGACCGAACCTAACCAACCCTACCTAACCTAACCTATCTTTATAGGTTAGGTTAGGGTAGGTGGCAGAAAAAGTTAGGTTAGGTTAGGTTAGGTAGGTTAGGTAGTCGAATGAACATTAATTCATGAAAACTAGGCTTATTAGGCAAATCGGGCCTTGCATAGTTTGCTGAGAAGTGCGTTCTGGCTACTAGGTACGACATATATATATATATATATATATATATATATATATATATATATATATATATATATATATGTCGTACCTAGTAGCCAGAACTCACTTCTCAGCCTACTATGCAAGGCCCGATTTGCCTAATAAGCCAAGTTTTCCTGAATTAATATATTTTCTCTAATTTTTTTCTTATGAAATGATAAAGCTACCCATTTCATTGTGTATGAGGTCAATTTTTTTTAATTGGAGTTAAAATTAACGTAGATATATGACCGAACCTAACCAACCTTACCTAACCTAACCTAACCTATCTTTATAGGTTAGGTTAGGTTAGGTAGCCGAAAACGTTAGGTTAGGTTAGGTTAGGTTGGTTAGGTAGTCGAAAAAACATTAATTCATGAAAACTTGGCTTATTAGGCAAATCGGGCCTTGCATAGTAGGCTGAGAAGTGCGTTCTGGCTACTAGGTACGACGTATATATATATATATATATATATATATATATATATATATATATATATATATATATATATATATATATATATATATATATGACTGAAAACTCACCCCAGAAGTGACTCGAACCCATACTCCCAGGAGCAACGAAACTGGTAACTACAGGACACCTTAATCCGCTTGACCATCACGACCGAACAAAAGGAAGTGATAGCCGAAGCTATATGAACCACTTCCCCGCAGGCACTCGGATGGTAATCTTGGGCATAGCATTTTATCAAATCACCTCATTCTTTGGGGCACATGTGAGGAACACAACACTTGTGTTCCTCACAAATATATATATATATATATCTATATATATATATATATATATATATATATATATAGTGTGATGAAAAATGTAGGTTTTAAGGCAGTCTTCTCTATGGCTGGTGTAAATGCCAATCGCATTAGAAAAAGAAAGAGAAAAACAAAATGTTGACTGCTTGGCGGGTGTCTCCTGTGGTAAAGTGAAAGGGAAAAACACGCAAAACAAATCATATAAATAATGATCTTTAATTTACTTTAAACAAATATAAACAAAATAAAGATAATCCCTCGGCTGTGTACAGTGCGGAACAAAATATAGACAAATACAAAATACAATATAAAATATAATAATGATTACGTTTCTCTACAATAAGCAAGACAAAAAATTTGTTAAAGGTGCTAAGAATATTGGCTGGCCTAAACCTCCACTAGTATACAGAACATATTCTTAGATAGAAGCGTCAGCTCGAGAGGAGAGCACAAGAATATTCTAAGGCCAACTGCTAGTGCGAAACTATATATAGGCGATGCAGATGGCGCTGGAGTCGCGTGTAGTCGCTGATTCACCAATGGGGAGAGTGTTGGTATGAAGTGGTCGTTTGGTGATCGGCGAGGTGGTGCGGCGACAGTGAGGGGAGGGGGGTGAGGAGTGAGTGTACCCCCCAGTAGAGACGTCTGTTATTCTACTTATATAATATTCTTGAGTGTGGTATCATGATGTTGCAGACGTATAGAAGTAACACAATGTAGGAAGGAGCAGACTAAATTTCTCTTGAAAGGGATTACTGTCACAGCTCTCCCCCGAAGCCTGCTCTTCCGGGTTAAGCTACTTCATTAGACGGTAGAGTGGTAGGAGTAGTTGCCTCTACCTCGAAGACTCTGGAGAGGGCGTAGGCTGTGATGTTATCCGAGCCCTTAATGAAGAATATCTCCAGGTTAACGTTCTGCAGGTACACAGCCCAGCGTAGAAGACGTTGATTGCTGAATTGGGCTTGTTGCAGAAATCGTAAGGGATTGTGGTCTGAGTAGATGGCAATAGACTGATTACCTTGTGGAGATTGGCTGTTTGGCAGCCGTGCGGAGCGGTTCTGTTTACATTCGCTCCTCAGTCTTGCCTGAACGTTTGGCGTGCACACAGTTGGTGGCGTTTTTTTGTGGCCTCTGGCCTGGCGGGATGGCGTTGCCCATGCCGCCTATAAAGCGTGTGGATACGGTTGAGCTGGCCTTCTCTGGTCAGGTGAACTACTCATTGTTGGAGGTTGCTCTCCTTTATGTGCTGGGTCTCAACCCTGCAGATGTGTATGGTGTGCAGCTGGCTGGGGAACATCGGCCCTTGGTTTAGCTGACTGACGCTGTGGTGTACCGGGATGTGGTCGACAAGTATGATGGGCGTACTGTACCTTTGCCTGGCGCGGCGGGTACGGTTTCTGTAACGGACTTGTGTGTTCCAGTGACATTTGTGGTGGTGCGGGGGCTGCCGTTTGAGTTCCCAGAGAGCCTGCTCCGCCGGTTCTTTGGGGGACATGGGAGTGTTTTCGCCTGTCGGGCGAATGTGCTGAAGTCTGGCCGTCTTCGTGGCGTCCTGATGGGTATCCGCACGATTACCATGAAGCTGAGGAAGGGGATCCCGTCGTCGATGGTGCTGCTGGGGTTCAAGGTGCAGTGCTTTTATGTGGGACAGGAGCGCACATGTTTTCGGTGCGGTATGGCTGGACACCAGGCTGCTGGTTGCCGTAATGGCACAGTCCGGTTGGTCAGTGTCTTCCGAGAAGAGGATTTTCCACCTCTACATGGCATTGTGGACCTGGGGTATGATCCTGCTGGGTTGAACCCTCCCCCTGCACCTACCGGTGATGATGGCGTTGTGGGTGCGGTGCACCCCACTTGCTGACATGCCGGGTCCGATGTCTGTGGACCCCCCTGGTGTGAGTGGTAGTGCGGTGGTCACGCATATGGAGGTGCATCCGCCTCCGGTTGCCATAGCCGTCGATGTTAACGCTTCGGTGGGGTGTGGTCCTGTTTTGTCGCCGGTGGAGGATGTCGCGCCAGATTCTGGTGCGCCTGGATTGGTATGTGCCTCTGCCCTTGGTGTGGAACCCTTGGAGGCAGATGAGGTCTTGGAAGGGGGTCGCCCCTCTCGTCGTCCTTCCACCACTGCTGTCCAGGGTCAATCTGGCTCTCAGACGAACAGGAGTGGTCGCTCCGGGGACCGAGGACCTTCGGTGCGGAGGTTAGAGCCTGATGCGTGTGTCGGTGATGGTGAGGGTGTGGCGGTGTCTGTAGTAGACCCGTCGGTACCCGGCGGTGGAGGGTGTGTTGTGGACCCTCCTGGTGATCTCGTATGTGGGTCCTCTGGGGTACGGAGCCCGGAGTGGGCGGTGGTGGATCCGGGGGACTGTGGCAGTGATGATCACGGCCTTGTGATGAAGTTCCGGACGAACTCTGGCCTCCCCCCCCCCCCCCTGTGGGGAGTGCGTCTCCGTCGCTTGAGAACCATGTGGCGGCTGCTACTGCTTCCATACACGGGGTGTCGGCCGGACCGGTCTGACGGTTTTGTGGTTAGATAGGGTTTATCTCTTTTCCCAATGGATCCTAAATTAACGTGTGCTTCGCTGAATGTGAATGGTTTGCGTTCTGTGGCTGTGCAATTGGGCCTGGTGTCGATGCTGTGTGAGTGGAAGGTGGATGTGGCTTTTCTGCAAGAAGTGGGGTTGTTACATGTGTTGGCTGAGGAGTTTACGGTGGTGTTAAATCCTTCGCGTCGCTTGCTTGGAGGTACATTGATCCTGCTTTCCAAGCGGGCCCCGATTTCCGTGCTTCACACGGAGATGGACGAGGGTGGTCGGGTGCTGTTAGTTCGGGTCTCTTTTTTGGGGTCTGAGGTCTCTCTCTTGAATGTGTACGCGCCATCTGGGGCAGCGCAGAGGCAGAACCGGGAAGTTTTCTTTTTCCGTGATGTGCTGCATTTTTTGCGGCACGATACGAGGGGAATGATTTTGGGGGGGGGGGGTGGATTTTAATTGTATTACGTCGCCGCGGGATAGAAATAGTCTTCGTCCAGCGAATATCTCGCCGGCTTTGACTGCTACCTTGAAGAGTTGCGGGTTTCGGGATGCGGCCGTGTTGCAAGGGGGTCCTTTGGAGTACACTTTTCTCTCGCGTGGGGCTTGCTCTCGCCTTGATCGTTTTTACGTGCCTACTGGGGGTGGTTCTGTTTTTTCGTTGCAGACGGTTCCCGTGGAGTTCTCGGACCATTGCATGGTGGTGTTGCAGGTGGGGATTCGCAGCCAGGTGCGGGTTGGCCGTGGCTGGTGGAAACTGAATTGTGGGTTGCTGAAATGCCCTGTTGTGTGTACCCAGTTCCGGGCCCGGTGGGCTGTTTTGGCCGCTCGGAAGGGGGCGTTTCCCTCGGTCCTGGAGTGGTGGGAGTGGGCTAAGGTGGAATGTCGGTCGTTTTTTCGGGTGATGGCGAAGCGGGAGGCGTCGGGAAGGTTTAGTCTGTTGAGGGTCTTGCAGGCACGGGTATTTCGCCTGTATGGATTGCTGAATCAGGGTTTAGATAGGTTTCGGGAGATCTCGGTGTGTAAGGATCTCATTTGTGGGCTGAGGGAGGAGATGGCTGAGGGGGTACGTGTGCGGGCTGGGGTGGAGGAACGGTTGTGTGGTGAGAAGCTCTCGCAGTTTTTACTGCGGAGGGAACGGGTGGGGCGTGCCCCTGTTTTGTTGGCAGGTCTTCATCGGCCGGACGGTTCGGTTTTGTCGGACACGGGGGCGGTTTTGCATTATGTGCGTGGTGAATTGGAGTCTTTGTATGGGGTGATTGCGGGGGATGAGGGGTTGATGGAGTCCTTCCTCCAACACTGTGCACCGGGGTTGTCGGGTATGGATTGTGTGGGTCTTGTGCGGGAGGTAAGCCCTTCGGAGCTTTGGGAGGTTGTGCGGTTCTTTCGTCGTGGTAAGGTTCCAGGGTCGGATGGGTTTCCAATGGAGTTCTATGTCGAGTTTTGGGATGTGCTTGGTGCCGATTTTTTGGAGGTGGTTCGGTTTTGTCTTCGGAGTTTGTCTCTGCCCGTTTTGCAAAATGATGGTCTTGTGCGGCTTCTTCCGAAGCCGGGGGACTTACGTTTTTTTTGCAAATTGGCGGTCTATTACGTTGCTAAATATGGATTACAAGATTATTTCCAAGTTGTTGGCTGGACGTTTACGCTCGGTTGTGGGGTCTGTGATCTCTTGGGGTCAGTTTTGTGGCGTTCCGGGTAGGTCGTTGGTGCAATGCAATTCCCTTTTCCGGGATTTGCTCCTCTATGTGGAGGAGTCTGGTGTTCCCGCGGCCATGATAAGCCTGGATTGGTCCAAGGCTTTTGATCGCGTGCCAATTGGGTTTGTTTTGCGGGTCCTGGAGAGGTTTGGTTTCCCGCCCAGTTTGTGGGCTGGATACGGATGTTGTATACTGGTTGTAGTAGTAGGGTGTATGTCAATGGATCCCTTAGTGCTCCCTTCGCTATTCGGCGTTCGGTTCGACAGGGGTGTCCTCTGTCAATGCTTCTCTATATTCTGTTTCAGGAGCCCTTTGTTCGCGCAGTGCGTGCTTGTCGTTCAGTGGTCTCACCATGTTTGCCGAATGGCTTGTCCCTCAAGATTTGTGGTTATGCGGACGACACGTTCTTGTTTGTTGCCTCTGAGGGTTCTGTGCCTGCTGTTCAGGATTTGGTGCTTCAGTTTGAGTCGGCTACAGGGGCTTTGGTCAATCGTGGAAAGTCTTGTCTTCTGGGGTTGGGGGTTATCTTGAGGTTATCTTGAGTTGGGGGGTTGGGCCTCTCGTTTGGTGTGGTCTGGTTCGTGGTTTCTGGTGGTTCAGTTCATTCGGGTTCTGGGGATTATGTGGTTCAGGTCGTATGTGCAGTCTTTGGAGTTTAATTGGGAGGCAGTTTCGCGGGGGGTGGGCGTACCTGTGGGGATGTTGTCGCAACGGGCCCTGACTATTTACCAGCGGGCAATTGTCGTGTCTTGTAAGGTTTTGTCGCGGGTCTGGTTTGTTGCGCAGTGTTTTCCGTTGGATCGGCGGAAGGCTCGCGCTCTGGAGGGTTTGGTGTATTGTTATGTGTGGTGTGGCCGGTATCATCCGGTTCGTCGATCTACGTTATGTCTTAAGGTGTCAGAAGGTGGAATTGGTATTCTTGATGTCTATGTGAAGGCGTTGGCTTTGTTTTGGGGGTCGGTTCAGAGGAGTTTGGTGTTAGGGGGTGGGTTAAACTCCTTGGGGTTGTTTTACTGCTCTATGAGGTTTAGTTTTTTGCGTGATCTGGATCGTTGCCAGGAGGTGGCCCTGTATACGCCTCCAGTGTATTCGTGGGCGGTTTTGATCCTTCGGGCGCTTTGTCGATTTCCTGGGTTTGTCTCTTTTGGTTGTCGGGAGGTGTATGGGGCGCTTGCCTCTCGGGTGCCTCCCAGGGTCGAAAGTTTGTACCCTTGTTTCGACTGGGGGAATGTGTGGGAGGCGTTGAGTGGGCCGTGTATTGCGCCACGGACGCGTGAGTTGGTTTTTCGATATTTGCATGAGTCTTTGGCTTCGAATGCGAGGCTCTTTATGTTGGGTTTGGTCGCCTCTGATAATTGTGTTCATTGTGGGGGACGTGAGACTCGGTTGCACGTCTTTTATTTTTGTGCGCGGGTTCAGGGTTTGGTTGGGTGGTTGCGGGATGTCGTTGCAGCCTTTTGTGGCCCAAAGGGGGCAGGTCGACCTATTGCGGTTTTTGTTTTTTTCGTTCCCTCGGGGCTCCAGGCGGGTGCGTAACACGCTCGGGGTGTTGTTAGCGGACTATATTTTTTGTTTATGGGTTGGTAGGATGGAGGGGTATGGGGTGGGGAGGATTTTGGGCTTTTTGAAAGGCCGTCTGTCTTATACTATGTGGTGGTTGCGTCGCTCCTTTCCTGGGGTTTTTGATGCTTGGTTCACGGTCGAGCATTGGTGTAGGTGGTGGGTTCCTGTGGGTGTGGTTGTGTGTGTGTCTGTGCGTGTTCCTTTGGTTCGGTTCCCTCTGGTGGGTGGGGGTTTGGGGGGTCTGTGTTTGTTTGTCTTTGGGGTTTTGTGTGTGCTGGGGTTTGCTTGGTTACCTTGTGTGACAGGGTTTTGTTTGTGTGTGGGTGGGTATGGGTGGGTATGGGTGTGTTGTGGTGTTGCGTGGCACGTCTGTCTCTCTCCTGATGTGTTCGGTGCGTGGGTGTTTTTTCTGCTTGGTGGCTGGCCGTCCTCTGTCTGTGGGGGTCGGGTTTGTGTGCTGGGTGGCTGTGTTTGTCTCGTATGTGTTCCATTGTTGTGTGTTTTTTGTATGCTTGTGTTCATTGTCATTTTGTCTTGCTGCCTTGTGTTATGTGCTTTTCATTATGGTTCCTGTTGGCGCGCCCCGTATGGGTGGCATGTGTTGTTTGCGTGTGTGTTTATGCTTTTTTACAATTTGTTCTGTTATCTGTGTCATTTTACTGTGTTACATGTTCCAATGTCGGTTTGAACTATACCGATTCCTTTATTTTTTACTATGTGATTTTACTATGTAATGCTAATGTGTTCTGTTTCCTTTATTTTATGTACTGTGCTGTATGTTGCTTTGTTGTATTCCATTGTTATTTTCCTGCATTTACTTACTATGTTGTATTTACAGTGTTATATTAACATGTGTGTTATTGTGTTCTCGATTCTGTGGTGTGTTGTTTGCTGTTGTGTGGTGTGGCGCATGGTGCGTGTGTTGTTTGCTGTTGTGTGGTGTGGCGCATGGTGCGTGTGTTGTCTGCTGTTGTGTGGTGTGGCGCATGGTGCGTGTGTTGTCTGCTGTTGTGTGGTGTGGCGCATGGTGCGTGTGTTGTCTGCTGTTGTGTGGTGTGGCGCATGGTGCGTGTGTTGTCTGCTGTTGTGTGGTGTGGCGCATGGTGCGTGTGTTGTCTGCTGTTGTGTGGTGTGGCGCATGGTGCGTGTGGTTTGCGTTTGTGTTATTTTTGTATGTGTATTCCTGTTTATAATTTACCCTTGGTTTTATTGTGCTCCTTGTGCGCTTTTGTAATTACTGACGCTTTTGGCACGCCCCATCTGGGTAGTGCTGCTTTTTTTTGTGTGTGTGTGTGTGTGTGTGTGTGTGTGTGTGTGTGTGTGTGTGTGTGTGTGTGTGTGTGTGTGTGTGTGTGTGTGTGTGTGTGTGTGTGTGTGTGTGTGTGTGTGTGTGTGTGTGTGTGTTCTTATGTGTTTTATATTATTCTTTGTTTTCACTTTTGTGTTGATCTGTGTTACTTGTTATCTGTGTTGTTGTTATTCTGTGTTCTTTGTTATTCTGTGCTTTCCTGTTTATACGGTTACTATACGCTGTACTTGCTCTGTTAAAAAAAAAGAAAAAAAAAAGATTACCTTGTAGGTAAGGTTCGAAATGTTGAAGGTTCAGGATGATTGAGAGGAGTTCCTTTTCTACGGTATTCTATAGCATTATCGGCGTGCTTCTTACTGTGTTCACGTTGTATCTCCAGATCACGTTCTTTTACTTCAAGCTCTTCCCTCTCACGCTCACGTTGGAATTCAACCTGCTCACGTTGTAGGGCAGCTTGTTCTTTCTGGAGCTGCAGAGCTTCCTTCTGGCGTTCACGTTCAAGGGTGGCAAGTTGTCGTTGTTCTTTCGCTAGTTCTAACTTTACCTTCATCGCTGCTGTAGTATGCCGATCTGCAATGGAATAGTTTTCGTGAGAATCAGAGTCTATACTTCCATTATCTAAGAGGTGGTCAAGGACAAGGTTATGCAAGTCACTTTTGGTGGCTCCATGGGGAACATCTAGTTGGTACTCATGTGCTAGAGTTTATAATTTTGTCTTCTTGTCACGAATTAAGTTCCCTACTTCATTTGCTGGATCACTACGAAATGCTGAGAGACGAAACATTTTGAGATATCAAACAGACGTACAGAGAATATACCTGTGGTATTATAAGTGTCAGTAACTGGATGACGTGGCAACTGGTGACTATCCTGTGGGAATTCAATCGTTAATGTGTAAACAATTAACGTTAATATTAGATGTTAAGTGATTAAATAATCAAAATGCAGGGAAATCTTGTATCCGGCACTCTATATACGAGAATAAGGGCAAGGAAATGCTACTAAAATAAATGAAACTTTGATAGTTTCAAAAGTGAGAGGTAGTCCAAAAACGTAGGGATACCTTGCCAGGTCTCTATAGGACAGAAGCAAGGGGTTTCCTACATAACTAGATGACACTTACAGAATTAGCGTTCTTTGTGCTCTGGAAAAGAATGCCAATTCCCTACCTGTGTAAGTATCATAATCTCTGACCGACGTGTAGGGGTGCGAGTGTCAACTGGTCACGAGAACTGCTGTTGAGGTCCCAACTAAACAGCGTAGTCCGTGCGAGAGGAACGATGGCCCTCTATATCCTCCTTCGGTCGGATTGCAGAAGATAGGGTACGTGTCCCGAAGACAAACCAAAGTGCCAGGGTACCAAAGGGGTGATCTGTCGTATATGAGAAATATACTAGGGACGAGAAAGGTGGAATACACGAGTAAAAACACCGAGGGATGAATAACCAATTAAGAGAGTGACTGTGGCCACCAGACACCACATAATCCACAGTCATCCAACACTCATAAAATGTTACACTCGGAAAGCACAAAATACACAGCATCATAAAAATTATTGAAGGTTATGAAATTATTGAAAAAAACAACGTGTAACAAAGCCAAGTACACTTACCACAAATTGAAGTTTTTATTTTTTATTTTTATAAAAGTAATACACAATATACAAAACAGACAATAGAAAACAACAAATCATACATACAAACAGGACAAATATAACAAAGTACGGAAACACGGATGCAAACTAAACATACCCAACAAAAACCAAGAAAGAAAACACGTAAAATATGGCACAATGAGAAAGCCCGAAACGGGCACTGGAGGGTACACACCCACACACACCCACACACACACACACACACACACACACACACACACACACACACACACACACACACACACACACACAAACAAAAAACAGAACGTTACAAATAAATATCACGACATAAATAACATAAAACAGTCATATCCACAAAAAACGTAAGTACAGAAATACAGAAAGAAAACACAAAACAAGCCCATCCCAACAACCCAAACTCAGGTGCAGATTAGTACATAACAACAACAGGCCTCATAAACCACCGACACAGAGACAAAAGTACAAAGCTACAGGAAACAACAAAAACTAAAAACAGAAAACAGGTGAATTCATAAACAGGGAAAAATACAGAGATAACATAAACACAGCAATGCCGCACACATAATAAAGCAATGTCACAAGGACAAGATAATAAACACACGCACACAAGCGACATACACAACCTCACCGCCTGCCACCCCAACACAATACACAGGGCGAGCGCAACGACACGAAAGATATAACACCAAACACCCACAACCGCACACAACCACAACACAAACACACACACCAAATGCAAAGTACAAAACATACAAGAAAACAGGCCACGCAGGGGCAAGAACAACACCCACACCACCCACACGCACAGACAAGGACACCCACCTGTGCACGCAGGCACCGGGGAAACATCACGCACAACACAGACAGAAACCAAACACACCAATAAACCAATCACTCATACTTCTCCGGGTACTCCTGAGCAGGAAACCGTAAACAATAAGCTTCCCAAACAAGTTGGTCACTGTCAGGAATCGGACACCCAGGAGTTGCAGTAGGCCGAGGCATCGAATTTGGCACTCCCGAGACAAAACACTGCGCTCGTGGAACCCAGATGGTAGATGGGCACCAGGGAACAGGACCCACCAGGTCATCACACTCAAAAGTCGCAGTTGCTGTAGATCTGTCGAGCACCTCGCCGGTCGAGAGGACAAAAGGGACGGGTTTCCCCCAAGGAAGCTGGTCACACGGGCGCACACTTGGTAGTACACCTGACTGCACGGCAGGCAGCACACCGGCCCGCCCACTAGGGCGTGCAATCCGTTCGGTGTCAGGAACTGCACCTAGACCCGTGGAGGGTGGCTCCGCAGGGGCCCCAGTGCCCCCACCAACCGGAACAGGAGCAGAGGCCCCCCGCCTCACATCCTTCGACAACACCACCACAAGGTCGCGCTTACCAGAGGCAACTACCCACTGAGGGGAGCCACCAGCAGGAGGCACAGCATCCAACCCAGAAGGCACCACAGCGTCGGCCACAGCATCATCATCTATTGCATCACGCTCCTCTGCCCACGACCGCCAAGGTGACGCACTCCGAGCCGAGCGACGGCGCTTAAAAAGAGGCTGCTGATCGTCGGAGCTGTCACCCCCAGCAAGCGGTGTCCCAGAAGAACCATTGGCAGGCGGTCCCAAAGCCGGGGCAACACGTTCACGCAGAACAGCAGCCTCAACAACACGGGGCAAAAAGCCACCACCAGGAAGGGAGACCACAGTCGGAGAAGGAAGAGACACAGCAGGCGGAAGGGTAGACTCCAGCACACGTGAGGTATCCAATTAGGGCGACGGAACCTGCAGAAGAGAAGAGGTACTCGTCAACGAGGAAACCCCCAGAGGCGACGAGGCAGAGGACGTGGGTGGAGACACACATACCACCGCTCCGTCAGCCTCGGGAAGCACATGGCCTCCAGCAGGAGACGCAGGCACCACCCCTACATCATCCCCCAAGGCCATCCGATGCGGATGCACCTCCGCAGTTATCGAACGAAGAAGGTCCGAAACAGGCGCCCCTAGGTCCCCCGAGCTCACCAGCGGGGCAGACATATCGGGTCCACACGTAGCGACATCCAGAACCGCCGCGGAATCCACACCAGGCACATGCACAGAGCGAGAATCCGCCGGGGAGTTCACACGCACAGATAAGCGAGGAAAATCATCCTCTAGGAAAACTGAAGGGGCTTCTGAATGAGGAGCGTCGCAACCAGCCACTACGTGGCCCTCAGCACCACAATGGAAACACGTTCGGGTTTGACCCTGATAGAAAGTCCTCAGAGACAGCCCACGATACGAGACCCTGGACGGCATAGGGCTTGTGAGCCGCATGACAAGCGTGCGTGAACCCAGCCGGACCCTCTTCAGCCGGCCCAAACTCAAAGTGTTGAACCGGTGCTTCACCACCGACCCAAACCGCGTAAACAAGGACATGAGGGCCGTCTCGGGCACGCCGTGAAGGTCACCGGCACGCCGTGAATACTCACAAACGTCAAGGGCCACCAGGGATCCGAGATCTCTACAGGCACAGCCGAAGCCGGAAGAGGAAGTGTGCGGCCATTCCAGCGAGCCACAAACTCCTGGTAAGCATGTGACATGGCGAACGACATCGCAACACAGTGGGCGACAACTTCTCAAGGCCCAGGAGCTCGGGGACGTCAACACGGAGGACGTCTAGGAGGGGAACTTCTACAACGGGCCAGTCCACATCAGCAGAAAAGGCCAGCCGCACTGTGTCTATCCTTCGAATACGGCTAGTACCAGCCCCGTCCATACTGGCAGGTGGGACCCCGACCAGCGGGTGCTCCACACCCCCCCACAGCAACTGCTACTCAGCAACGGCAGATGACTACTCACCACAAATTGAAGTGATTGGTCTAGTATCAGTACCTGAGTGGTTCTTCCAAGACAAACCTTATTGTGAAGACACTCCCGGACGGGCCCCCATTAATGTGACGAGAAATGTAGGTGTTAATGCAGTCTTCTCTATGGCTGGTGTAAATGCCAATCACATTAGAAAAAGAAAGAGAAAAACAAAATGTTGACTGCTTGGCGGGTGTCTCCTGTGGTAAAGTGAAAGGGAAAAACACGCAAAACAAATCTTATAAATAATGAACTTTAATTTACTTTAAACAAATATAAACAAAATAAAGATAATCCCTCGGCTGTGTACAGTGCGGAACAAAATATAGACAAAGACAAAACACAATATAAAATAAAATAATGATTAAGTTACTCTACAATAAGCAAGACAAAAAATTAGTTAAAGGTGCTGAGAATATTGGCTGAAACCTCCACTAGTATACAGGACGTATGCTTAGAAGCGTCAGCTCGAGAGAACAAGAATATTCTGAGGCCAACTGCTAGTGCAAAACTATATATAGGCGATGCAGATGGCGCTGGAGTCGCGTGTAGTCGCTGATTCACCAATGGGGAGAGTGTTGGTATGAAGTGGTCGTTTGGTGATCGGCGAGGTGGTGCGGCGACAGTGAGGGAGGGGGTGAGGAGTGAGTGTACCCCCCCAGTAGAGACATCTGTTATTCCACTTATATAATATTCTTCAGTGTGGTATCATGATGTTGCACGCGTATAGAAGTAGCGCGATGTAGGAAGGAGCAGGCTAAATCTCTCTTGAAAGAGATTACTGTCACAATATATATATATATATATATATATATATATATATATATATATATATATATATATATATATATATATATATATATATATGTCGTACCTAGTAGCCAGAACTCACTTTTTGGCCTACTATTCAAGGCCCGATTTGCCTAATAGGCCAAAGTTTTCCTGAATTAATATATTTTTTCTAATTTTTTTCTTATGAAATGATAAAGCTACCCATTTCATAATGTATGAGGTCAATTTTTTTTTATTGGAGTTAAAATTAACGTAGATATATGACCGAACCTAACCAACCCTACCTAACCTAACCTAACCTATCTTTATAGGTTAGGTTTGGTTAGGTAGCCGAAAAAGTTAGGTTAGGTTAGGTTAGGTAGGTTAGGTAGTCGAAAAAAATTAATATATATATATATATATATATATATATATATATATATATATATATATATATATATATATATATAATATATATATATAATATATATATATATATTTATATATATATATATATATATATATATATATATATATATATATATATATATATATATATATATATATATATATATATATATATATATATATATATATATATATATATATATATATATATATATATATATATATATATATATATATATATATATATATATATATATATATATATATATATATATAGTATATTTTGGTAGCAGTCTTTCCTGTAGACATATATTATTAAATATGACCGAAAAGTAAGATTAATAATTCTAACACGAATTTCTCAATCTTTCGTACATTTCTTTTCACTGTTGGAGGTAAATCAAAAATCAATTCTCCAAAATTCATTTTTATTTCTAGTCTGACGCGACACGAGCGCGTTTCGTAAAACTTATTACATTTTCAAAGACTTTAGTTTACAAATACACAACTGAATAGAACTTACGCATCTCCGATTTTATATCTACATTTGAGTGAGGTGGATGGGGTGAGGTGGCATTAATAGGGTATTAATTTCATTAACACAAGACAGAACAAGAGACGGCATTAATAGGGTATTAATTTCATCAACACAAGACAGAACACGAAACAATGGGTATTGAATAGAAGTGTTTGTAGAAAGCCTATTGGTCCATATTTCTTGATGCTCCTATATTGGAGCGGAGCATTGAGGTGGGTACTAACCTCAAGACTCCTGGAGATTGATTTTTGATTTACCTCCAACAGTGAAAGAAATGTACGAAAGGTTGAGAAAATTCGTGTTAGAAGTATTAAAACTTACTTTTTCGGTCATATATAATATATATATATATATATATATATATATATATATATATATATATATATATATATATATATATATATATATATATATATATATATATATATATATATATATGTCGTACCTAGTAGCCAGAACGCACTTCTCAGCCTACTATGCAAGGCCCGATTTGCCTAATAAGCCAAGTTTTCATGAATTAATTGTTTTTCGTCTACCTAACCTACCTAACCTAACCTAACCTAGCTTTTTCATTACCTAACCTAACCTAACCTATATTTATAGGTTAGGTTAGGTTAGGTAGGGTTGGTTAGGTTCGGTCATATATCTACGTTAATTTTAACTCCAATAAAAAAAAATTGACCTTATACATAGTGAAAAAGGTAGCTTTATCATTTCATAAGAAAAAAATTAGAAAAAATATATTAATTCAGGAAAACTTGGCTTATTAGGCAAATCGGGCCTTGCATAGTAGGCTGAGAAGTGCGTTCTGGCTACTAGGTACGACATATATATATATATATATATATATATATATATATATATATATATATATATATATATATATATATATATATATATATATATATATCTTTCCTGTAGACATATATTATTAAATATGACCGAAAAAGTAAGATTAATAATTCTAACACGAATTTTCTCAATCTTTCGTACATTTCTTTTCACTGTTGGAGGTAAATCAAAAATCAATTCACCAAAATTCATTTTTATTTCTAGTCTGACGCGACACGAGCGCGTTTCGTAAAACTTATTACATTTTCAAAGACTTTAGTTCACAAATACACAACTGAATAGAACTTACGCATCTCCGATTTTTATATCTACATTTGAGTGAGGTGGAAGGGGTGATGTGGCATTAACACAAGACAGAACAAGATGTGGCATTAATAGGGTATTAATTTCATCAACACAAGACAGAACAAGAGTATTAATAGGGTATTAATTTCATCAACACAAGACAGAACACGAAACAATGGATATTGAATAGAAGTGTTTGTAGAAAGCCTATTGGTCCATATTTCTTGATGCTTCTATATTGGAGCGGAGTCTTGAGGTGGGTAGAATATAGTTGTGCAATAATTGGCTGTTGATTGCTGGTGTTGACTTCTTGATGTGTAGTGCCTCGCAAACGTCAAGCCGCCTGCTATCGCTGTATCTATCGATGATTTCTGTGTTGTTTACTAGGATTTCTCTGGCGATGGTTTGGTTGTGGGAAGAGATTATATGTTCCTTAATGGAGCCCTGTTGCTTATGCATCGTTAAACGCCTAGAAAGAGATGTTGTTGTCTTGCCTATATACTGGGTTTTTTGGAGCTTACAGTCCCCAAGAGGGCATTTGAAGGCATAGACGACGTTGGTCTCTTTTAAAGCGTTCTGCTTTGTGTCTGGAGAGTTTCTCATGAGTAGGCTGGCCGTTTTTCTGGTTTTATAGTAAATCGTCAGTTGTATCCTCTGATTTTTGTCTGTAGGGATAACGTTTCTATTAACAATATCTTTCAGGACCCTTTCCTCCGTTTTATGAGCTGTGGAAAAGAAGTTCCTGTAAAATAGTCTAATAGGGGGTATAGGTGTTGTGTTAGTTGTCTCTTCAGAGGTTGCATGGCGTTTCACTTTCCTTCTTATGATGTCTTCGACGAAACCATTGGAGAAGCCGTTGTTGACTAGGACCTGCCTTACCCTACAGAGTTCTTCGTCGACTTGCTTCCATTCTGAGCTGTGGCTGAGAGCACGGTCGACATATGCGTTAACAACACTCCTCTTGTACCTGTCTGGGCAGTCGCTGTTGGCATTTAGGCACATTCCTATGTTCGTTTCCTTAGTGTAGACTGCAGTGTGGAAACCTCCGCTCTTTTCCATGACTGTTACATCTAGAAAGGGCAGCTTCCCATCCTTTTCCATCTCGTAAGTGAAACGCAGCACGGAACTCTGCTCAAATGCCTCCTTCAGCTCCTGCAGATGTCTGACATCAGGTACCTGTGTAAAAATGTCGTCAACATACCTGCAGTATATGGCCGGTTTCAAGTTCATGTCGACTAAGACTTTTTGCTCGATGGTACCCATGTAGAAGTTTGCAAACAGGACACCTAGGGGAGAACCCATGGCGACCCCATCTACTTGCTTATACATGTGCCCATCCGGGCTCAAGAAGGGTGCCTCTTTAGTACAAGCTTGGAGTAGTTTCCTCAGAATATTTTCTGGTATGTCAAGAGGAGTACAGGCAAGGATCACGATACACTCTGTCGCCAGGATCTGATTCGTGATCAGATATACAAGGCAGAAAATGAAATCAAAGACAACAAAACGCAACTACTTCATGCTACAAACGAATGGAGAAATAGCAACATCGACGAAAGTCTCCGTACCCGCATTGAACAACACCTCGACATCCTCACAGACCGACATCACCTCAGCACTGAAACAAGGATTATCAAGAAACTAACAACGTTATATGGAGGACCTATGGCAATTCCACGACCAAGAGATGGCTTCCTGAACCTTGCAGGAATTAACCTCACTGAGGACCAAGTCACTCTCCTAAATCTGGGTATAAACTGTCACGTTATGTCCAGACCGAGTGAGATGGCCCGGAAAGTGGAGTTGGAAATTCTGTTGGACGACATATTCGACCTCGAGACACAAAAGAAGGTCACTACCAAAGATACCTTACAAGCAGAACTTATTGCGGAAGGAGGAAAGAATCGAGGCAATTACAGAAGCACCATACTGTCCCCCGAGCTCAAAGCGGCAGCTAAAAGCCTTCGTGAGAACAAGGAGATAGTTGTCAGGAGAGGTGACAAGTCGCCAATATACGTCATTCTTAAAAAGACGAATATCTGGCGAAAATGAACCTCATA